AAAGTCTGCATCTTTTCATTCCTCCTGTCTCCGGGCATTGTCCTTTAATGGATGTCATGGTCTGTGTCTGTCCTCTCATCTCCTCCCTTCACGTGAGTCTTTGTTGCCCTGTCATCTCTTGCTTTTTGTTTTGTAAAAATATTTGTTTCTTTATTTTTACCTTCGAGTTCTCATGCCTCTAACTCAGGCCTAAATGTGTTCTAAAAATGAATGAATACATTTACATTTTAGAGTCATATTTTAAAATTAGAGATCAAAAATATTTTAATGTGTGGTTTAAAACTTTTTTTAATTTTTTACCTTGAGTGTCTTGAAACACTTGGTGCTGAAATACAGCAATCGTTGTGTCCTTTACCTGACATTCTGCGATGTAACTCTAATGTGTTTGCACTTTGGTCTGGAAAGCTTTGATAGCTTGCCTAATCGCAAAGAAAACAGCTGGTATTGGGGTTAGTGTCCGATCCGTGAGGAGAATATAAATATATCAGAAAAAAGGCTGCTAAACAATCTGTTTTGCAACATTTTCATGAAGCGTGTAAATAACAAAATATATTGACTGAAAACAGAAAACAGCCAATCCATACTAATTCATATGTATGTTTTCTGGCATTACATTTTTCTTTATTAGAGTTCATAAAATATTTCATGCATAAATTATTTATCAATACTCTGTTGTAAGATCCCTTTGTTGTTTATTCATGCAACACATACAATACTTCTGACCCCTGGTGTTATCTCAGGGGCTATCTCCTTTCCTTGGAATTGCGGTCCACTGGGCCATTTTACTGGAGCTGTTGGGGGTTAAGAGCCCTGTTAATATGTATTTTCTAGAAATAGATGGTTCATTAGGCAGTTCACTTATGATAAATAGAAACATACCTGTAAATAACTACAGGAATGTTTATTATTTCAGATATCATCAATAACCCATATATTGCTGCTGAGCATTCATTATCACCCATTGCAAAATGCAAAGAGAGTAATGATGTTTTTGCTAGTGTTTGTCTTTGTTTGAACTGTTAGGAAAACATCTCATGAATAAGTGAACAGATTTTAATGAAACATTCAGAAAGGAATCCTTGACTTGACATCTACAGCTAATTAACTGTTGGGGTCGACACATCTGGTACAGATGCCCATTGGAGGCCTTTATAGGGGGATAATCCAGGCTTATCTGACTGGGAGGATACCCCAAGGAAGACCCTGGACCAGCTGGAGACACCATGTCTCTCGGCTGGACTGGTAACACCTTGAAGTCCTCCTAGAAGAGATGGAAGAAGTGGCTGCAACAAGATGTCTGGGCCACCCTGCTTAAGCTGCTGCTCATGTGGCCTGACTCTGTAACAAGTGGCAGATAATGGATGGATGGATGGATAGAGTCAACACAAATTTAAGAGTCACCACAGCTTATTTCAATTAAACGAAGAACAACAATTGAACAGATATTGAGCTATTATTGTTAAGAACATTGGGCTCCTCTGGTTGTATCTGAGAGTCATTTACAATAACGCATTGTGTTATTTTCAAGGTTTACCTAAAAGTTTACAACTCTAATTGTTTATCAACGTAAAATTATATTAGTTTAAACATTGGCATGAATAATGTCAGGCTATATGCATTATTTGTAGGAATGCTATGTGTTTATTAACTAGAGAAATTGCATTTCCTGCAAAAATGCACTGTGAATGCTTATTTCTGAAGAACTTGCTGAAAAACAGCTGAAATTAGCTACAATCATGCTGAATTTTAGCTGAAAAAGAAAAACGAGCCTAAATTAGCAAAATAAAGCAGAAAGAACACACATTTGCTGAATTAGGTTTAAATAAGCAGAAATGAGCAAGAAATGTATGAAATTAGCTACAAAAGATTAAATTAACAAACAAAAAAAAAAAGCTGAAAAGGCAGAAAGAAACTTAAGTTACCAGAAGGTAGTGGAAAGAGCAGAAATGAGCTACAAAATGTGGAATTAGCTGAACAAGCTAAAAATAGCACAAAACAGCTTAATAGTAGCTAAAATGACTGAAACTAGCAGAAATAAACAGAAAGGAGTGTAACAAGCTGAAATAATAAGTGGAAAGAGCATAATTGTGCCCAATAAGGTGGAAAGAAGCAGAAATGAGCACAAAAATGTGCAAATTATCTGAAAACAGCTGAAAGTAGCAAAAAAAAAAAATAAATCTGATGAAAAATAACAAAGCAGAAAGAGGCAGAAATAATCAAAAGGAAGGGGAGAGAGCAGAGTTTTACTGATTTAGTCTGAAAAAAGTTGAAATTGGTGCAACAAATGTGGAACTAGCTGAAAAAGTTAAAATTGGCACATATACAGCTAAATAGTAGTTGAAATAATAAAATTACCAAAAACGTGCATGTTAGGCTGCCTTCAGGTCCAGGCCTCCCTTGCAAAAGAGATATGTGATCTCAATGGGATTTGTCTGGTTAAAAAAAAAAAGGTTAACATCCATCCATCCTTCCATCCATATATTATCTTCTGCTTATTCCGAAGTCGGGTTGCAGGGGCAGTAGCTTGAGCAGGGAGGCCCAGACATCTCTTTCCACAGCACCTCTTCCAGCTCTTCTGGGAGGATTCCAAAGCGTTCCCAGGCAACCGAGAGACATAGTCTCTCCAGCGTGTCTTGGGTCTTCCCCGGGGTCTCCTCCCAGTTGGACATGCCCGAAGCACCTCTCTAGGGAGGCACCCAGGGGGCATCCTTACCAGATGCCCGAACCACCTCAACTGGCTCCTCTCGACGTGAAAAAGTAGCAGTTCTACGCCGAGTCTCTCCTGGATAACTGAACTTCTCACCCTATCTCTAAGGGAGAGTCCAGCTACCATACGGAGGAAACTCATTTCAATCGCCTGTATCCGTGATCTCATTCTTTTGTTCACTACCCAGAGCTCATGACCATAGGTGAGGGTAGGAATGGAGACTGACCGGTAAACAGCTGCCTTACATCTCAGCTCTCTCTTCACCACAACAAACCGGTACAAAGTTTGCAATACTGCAGATGCTGCACCAATCTGTCTGTCAATCTCACACTCCATTCTTCCCTCATTCATGAACAAAATCCCGAGATACTTGAACTCCTCCACTTTAAGCAGAACCTCATCCTCGACATGAAGAGAGCAATGCACCCTTGTCCGGTTGAGGATCATGGCCTCAGATTTGGAAGTGCTGATTCTCATCCCAGCCGCTTCACACTCGGCTGCGAATCGCTCCAGTGAGAGCTGAAGATCATGGCATGATGACACCAACAGGACCACATAATCTGCAAAGAGCAGAGATGGAATCCTGAGGCCACCGAACCAGAAACCTTCCGCCAGCTGGCCGCACTGAGAAATTCTGTCCATATAAGTTATGTACAGAATTGGTGACAACGGGCATCCCTGGCGAAGTCCAACTCACACCCTGAAGGGATCCGACTTACTGCCGGCAATGCAAACCAAACTCTCGCACCGCTTGTATAGGGACTGAACAGCCCGTAACAACAGGTCTCCAATCCCATACTCACGGAGCACCCCCCACAGTGTACCCAAAAGAACACGGTCAAATGCCTTCTCCAAGTCCACAAAACACATGTAGACTGGATGGGCAAACTCCCACGACCCCTTGAGGACCCTAGTGAGGGTAAAGAGCTGATCCAGTGTTCCACGGACAGGACGGAACTCGCATTGTTCCTCCTGGATCTGAGGTTCGACCAATGATCGGACTCGCTTCTCCAGTACCCCTGAATAGACCTTACCAGGGAGGCTAAGGAGAGTGATGCTCCTATAATTGGTGGACTTCCTCCGGTCCCCATTTTTTAAGAGGGGAACCACCACCCCAGTCTGCCAATCCAGTGGCACTGCCCCTATGTCCACGCGATGCTGCAAAGGCGTGTCAGCCAAGACAGCCTCACAACATCCAGAGTCTTAAGGAAATCAGGGTGAAGCTAATCCACTCCCGGAGCCCTGCTGCCTCAGAGCTTTTTAACTACCTCGGCGACCTCAGCCACGGTTATGGACAGATCAACCCCAAAGTCCCCCGACTCAGCTTCATGGAAGATGTGCTAGTGGGATTGAGAAGGTCCGAGAAGTATTCCTTCCACCTTCTGATGAAAAGGTTAACATACTGTATGATAAATAAATATTTGAAAAAGCTGAAACTTGGAGAAATAAGCTGAAACGAGCAGAACAAGCTGAAATCAGCAGAAAGAAGTTAGAAGAAGTACAAAATGTTGTAGTTAGCAGAAAGCGTCTGAAAAGATCACAGAACAGCTGAAAAAACAGCTGAAAATAGCTGAAAAAATGTTTAATTTTGCACAAGGAAGTCGAAAGAAGCTGAACCAGAACAAAATGTGAAAGGAGCAGTAAAAGGTTGTAAACAGATCTAAAGATTAGACAGATGTAAAATGAGCTCAATTTATTTTTCTGAGAAAAAAAGTGGAAGGCTAAATATTTCAAAAAGCTAAAGTTGCACCAAAACCAAAAGTCATATCTGGATTGTCCTGAAAGAGCGTAACATTTTGATATATGATTTGTTGAAATAGCACAAAAACTGTGGAATGAGAAATATGCTGAAAAATGTATGAAAGAAAAATGGATCACAATAGTGTGAATGCTTCATAAGCGTTCATACAATTATTAGGATTGATACTATCTTGAGAGAGAGACGAGATCACAAGTGTAGATTACATAGTGCATAGTTGCACAGTGAGAAAGACTGCAAGTCAACTAAACCGTCATAGTAACTGAAACCAGTTGTGCAACATTACAACACAAACAAGTTTTGCACCTCAGCTCCTCCCACAGATTAGAAGTGTACTGACACTTACTTTGACTTTACAAGCAGCTGCTGTAAAGTTTGTTTGTGTTTTGGAATTTGTCTTTTTCTCAGCAAGACGCAGGTTCCTGCAGGGCGACAGACGAATGTTGATGTGAGGGTTAAATCCTGTTTATGAGTAAGATTAGAGAGCAAGGGTGTCGTAAAGGTTTTGTTCGAGAGGATCTATGTACCATACTCATGAATTACAATCAAGGATTTCTGGGACAGTTCAGGGACTTCAAGAAGGATGACTTTGAGGTTGACTGGATTAAGCTGTCAGAAGGCAGATTTGGTCAGGTGTACCAAGTCAAACTCAAGGTCTGGCAGGAAAAATGTGCCCTAAAAACCTTCAGCGCAACTTTGGCTTCCAACAACAGTTATGGGTAAGACTTTTCACTGTATATGTCTTGCTAGGTGCTCACAGATATTGAGCAACTCTAGTAATTTATTTGCAGATTGGCAAGGTTTGCTTTGAATTAAAATGAAAGTTCACATAATTCCAAATTTCTCTAGAAAGGTTTAAAACATCTAGAAAACTTAAAATGTTCTGTCAAAATGTGAGGTGCATGTCGGCACAAGTACCTTTGTGACTGATAAAATTTGTTGAAGAATTTTGAAATGGAGTTGTGACAAGAACAGAAGCTAACATTAGCAAAATAGTACTTAAGCTAAAATTAATTTAACTATAAATAATGCTAAAATGAGCAAAACTGTAGCTAACTGCTACAATTAGGATAACAAAAGTGAAAATTAGCAACACTGTAGCAAAATGCCAAAGCTGGTAATGCAGTAGTTAAAAGTTAAAACTAGCAAAATATTAGCTAAAACTTAAACTTAGCAAAAACATTACCAAATTTAAAAAATGGCAGAACAGTAGCTAAATGCTAAAATTAGCTAAAATCTAGCTACGGTAATAGCTGTATTTAGTGTTACAGTAGCAAAAAGCAGCCAAGCACAAGCTAAAATCTCAACTTGAAACAATGACACAGAAGCTAAAGATAAAACTGAACCCCCCTAGCCATTTAAAATAACTAAAACTGTTCAATTCAGTTCAGTTTATTTATATAGCGCCAAGTCACAACAGAAGTCATCTCAGAGCACAAATGTTACTAAAAAGTTTTAAATTTAGAAATACCAAAAAACAATATTCCCACCTCCTGAAAAAGCTGCATATTTTTTAAATAGGAAAAGCTGAAATTAATTTATTTGAAGTAGATGGATGCCCAAAATTATACGTAAAACAATAATAAAAAAGTAAAAAAATCCACAATGTGAAATGAGAGCAGTTTAAAGGTTTATCAAGTAGTTTAGGTATTTACATTAAGTTTTACGACATTTATGAGTTTCACACTCCATCTTGGCTTTCACTCCTCTCAGACTAGCAAAATGAGGTTGTCAAAATGTTTTCTACTACAGGTAAGATATTAATTGTTCATGACCTTTCTGCACAACTTCACCTAAAAAGACATGAGGTCTTGCTTTGCTTCATAGTTTAATAAACTATTTTACATTTGCTAACAAATGTTTTTGATCCAATATGTCTCCTCATTATTATATTTTTCTCCATTACAGGAAAATAGCAGATGAAGTGTCCAACATAGCCAAACTAAAATTTAGGTACATTTTGTCCATTTATGGACTCTGCAGCGAAGCAAGCGCTGTTGTGATGGAGCACATGAGCAACGGCTCTCTGAACAATCTCCTCACCTCTCACACTTTCATGTGGCCAAAGAAGTTTCAGATGATCCATGAAGTCTCCATGGGCATGGATTTCCTTCACAGCATGAAACCGCCGCTGCTCCATCTTAACCTCAAAACATCTAATATCCTACTAGATGATCATCTTCACGCTAAGGTCATTAAAACTCTGGTAACTTATAGTGATTTGTTAATATAACATAAAATTCTCAGAAATTTCCACTTGTTTTTGGTCCTTTTCAGATTTCGGATTTCAGTGCCATTCAGTGGGAAGAAGGCATGAGTAAAGCTGTGTTCATGGAGGATCTGACGGCACGAGGTAACATAAGTTACATACCACCAGAGACCTTCACTCAGGACCCTGTACCACCAGGAACTGCCTTTGATGTGTACAGGTGCATCTTCAAAAACACACAATCAGAACTGCTGCATTTCATTTTATGATTCAGTGCACAACTCCAAATCCACACAATATAACCTTACTCTGTTCTATATTCTCTATGTTCCACAAGTCACAAGGACATTGCAGTCTTTCTCTGATCCAACTCACTTTCTTGCCCTTTTATAATATCAATATTTTATTGCACAACAATAAGAAACCAGAAACTTTATTTTCTTCTGTGTAAGAGAGAGGAAGCGTTAAAGTTCACTGAATGCACAGCAAGCAAAATCAAAACCTTACGACTTAAGAGCTTCTTCCTGCTTTGATCTGCAGCTTTGGGATTGTGATGTGGGAGATACTGACTCAGCAGAAACCGTACGCAGGTAAGAAGCAATGGGACATGCACAAGAATGATCGTGAACACTATTTTAAATTAAAGGCCTAGTTTTTCTTGAAGGATTGCATATCCCCATACTAAGAATCTTATGTTGACAAGTTCCAGAGTTATAGCTTTTAGATCAAATATTGAAAATAACATTTGATACAATCTCATGCATATTATATTCGTCTTATAATCTAGCTGTTTTTGCTACTTTTTTTGCCATTGTATTTTAATTTGTTTAAAAAAAAACAACAACTGTATGCCTCTTTTATAATTGTCTATTGTCGCTCTTGTCCGTTGTTGTCATCATTCTTTGTTGAAATCAGGTCTTTCTTATAAATGAGTCCTCGAGGCTCAATGGGATTAACCTGTCTAAATAAAGGTTGAATATCTTGCAAGATCTGACATGATCTGTTAGCATTTGGAGTATAAATTGTGAATGAATCTCAGCTACTACCACATCTACTTTTTGCTCAAAATCAGAGCTCTTGCACTGTCTTGCACTAACTGTTAGCTCAAGACAATTGACTGTTTGAGCGTATTTTATAGTTGATAATAAAACTTGAGACAAAGTGCTGTTAGAGCATCATGGGGCAAAAACAGTCTTGCCTAGTATTAAATAAAGGCATAAAACTACAAACCGGATTCCAAAAAAGTTGGGACACTAAACAAATTGTGAATAAAAACTGAATGCAATGATGTGGAGGTGCCAACATCTAAAATTTTATTCCAAATAGAACATAAATCATAGATCAAAAGTTTAAACTGAGAGAATGTATCATTTTAAGGGAAAAATATGTTGTTTCCAAATTTCATGGCATCAACAAATCCCAAAAAAGTTGGGACAAGTCCATTTTTACCACTGTGTGGCATCCCCACTTCTTCTTACAACACTCAACAGACGTCTGGGGACAGAGGAGACCAGTTTCTCAAGTTTAGAAATAGGAATGCTCTCCCATTCATGTCTAATACAGGCCTCTAACTGTTCAATCGTCTTGGGCCTTCTTTGTCGCACCTTCCTCTTTATGATGCGCCAAATGTTCACTATAGGTGAAAGATCTGGACTGCAGGCTGGCCATTTCAGTACCTGGATCCTTCTCCTACGTAGCCATGATGTTGTGATTGCTGCAGAATGTGGTCTGGCATTATCGTGTTGACAAATGCAGGGTCTTCCCTGAAAGAGATGACGTCTAGATGGGAGCATATGTTGTTCTAGAACCTGAACATAGTTCTCTGCATTAATGGTGCCTTTCCAGACATGCAAGCTGCACATGCCACAAGCGCTCATGCAACCCCATACCATCAGTGATGCAGGCTTCTGAACGGAGCGTTGATAACAACTTGGGCTATCCTTGTCCTCTCTGGTCCGGATGACATGGCGTCCCAGTGTTCCATAAAGAACTTCAAATCGTGACTCATCTGACCTCAGAACAGTCTTCCATTTTGCCACACTCCATTTTAAATGACCCCTGGCCCAGTGCAAACGTCTGAGCTTGTGGAGCTTGCTTAGAAATGGCTTCCTCTTTGCACTGTAGAGTTTCAGCTGGCAACGGCGGATGGCACGGTGGATTGTGTTCACTGACAATGCTTTCTGGAAGTATTCCTGAGCCCATTCTGTTATTTCCTTGACAGTGGCATTCCTGTTTGAGGTACAGTGATGTTTAAGGGCCCGGAGATCACGAGCATCCAGTAGAGTTTTATGGCCTTGACCCTTACGCACAGCGATTGTTCCAGATTCTCTGAATCTTTTGATGATGTTATGCACAGTTGATGATGATAACTTAAAAGTCTTTGCTATTTTACGCCGGGTAACACCATTCTGGTATTGCTGCACTATCTTTCTGTGCAACAATGGTGGAATTGGTGATCCTCTTACCATCTTGGCTTCTGAGAGACACTGACACTCTGAGAAGCTCTTTTTATACCCAATCATGTTGTCAATTGACCTAATTAGTGTTAATTGGTCTTCCAGCTGTTCGTTATTCTCAATTTCCTTTTTCCAGTCACTTATTGCTACTTGTCCCAACTTTTTGGGATTTGTTGACACTGTGAAATTTTGAATCAACATGTTTTTCCTTTAAAATGTTACATTTACTCAGATTAAACTTTTGATCTGTCATCTATGTTATATTACAAATAAAATATTGACATTTGCCATCTCCACATCATTGCATTCAGTTTTTATTCACAATTTGTTTAGTGTCCTAACTTTTTTGGAATCCGGTTTGTATCTCTAAAGTGTACCAACCAATAACTGATTTTGTTTGTTTAAATGCACCCCAAAAACATTATTAAAAAAAAGTGTTGTAAGGAAAAAGTTTTGTCCTTAGATAAATTGTACAACAATTGTCTGGATACCCAAACAATGTGTTACAACGAAACAAAAATAAGGCCTGCACTTATTTGTGGGGATTAGTTATACTGTATATATAAATAAACTGAACAGAACATTGCTACTGCTGTTATATGTTTTTCTTTTGTGTGTGTGTGTGTGTGTGTGTGTGTGTGTGTGTGTGTGTGTGTGTATGTGTGTGTGGGTGTGTGTGTTACAGGCTGCAGTGTGACAACAGTGCTCTTGCAGGTGTCAAAAGGGAAGAGACCCAACCTGGAGAGTATTCCTGATGGCAGGCCCCAGGAGTGCGATCAGCTGATCAGCATCATGAAGCAATGCTGGGAAAAAGACCCCTGGAAGAGGCCAGAGTTTTCAGGTCGCAAATTCTAAACATAAAGGAAAATAGTTTTAGAAAGAAAAAAAAAAAAAATATATATATATATATATATATATAACTATACATTTTAATAAATTCAAAAACTTTGAAAGCCTGTTTAATCAAATTTCTATGATTTTTAGCTCTTAGGTTTGATATTATTGTTACTAGTTTACCAAAAAAGAGCATTTTTTTATGTTTGACTTTCATTCTCATTCAAAATTTGGTTTATTATTCATAAAAAGTGGTATTGCTTTTGCCCTCTGATTAACTCACTGAGTCAGCCTTTACCTTCTGATCAATTCAGTGAGTTAATCTGAGGGCAAAAGCATGCACACGTTTTATGATTAATAAACCATATTTTGAATGAAAGTCAAACATAAAAAAATGCTCCTTTTTTGCAATATATTGCAATGTTTCAAAAAAAAAAAAGGTTTACCATAATTGTAACACGATTTTCCTGAAATTCATGCATGATTATATTGTATCACTGCAATTAGGAAAGAATCCCAGTTGAATCTTTAAGCTGCAAAAACACTTTTGTTGCAAAAATGAAGTTTTAAAACTGTTTCTGTCTTGATGTTTGGGTGCAGACACTGTAAAGAAAACAGAGGCTTTGAATGGCGCCTTGAAGATCCCAGGACCCATTCATTATGGCAAAAATGGCGACATGGAACAGAAATCTAATTATTCGTGGCAGGTTTCCACCAACCATGAAGTTAGTTCTGTTTAATACGCTCATTTATTGGTGCTGAAGCATGTCTAGTTGGTAATATGCTCTGTAGTTTTTGTGTTTCAGGGTTTGTTTTTTGTCATTTTTTTCTCAATTTTTCCTGCTTACTGCACACACCTGGCATAAAATATAAATTACCAGAACAGAAGATCATGATATAATTTTTAGCAATTGTTTATCTAACAAAATGCAATTAATATTAGCAGTTTAGTGCAAACTAGAGTCCTTGAACATGAAGGATCATATAGTGAATATTGCATATTTTTGCTCTTTGTCTTCTACATTAGATCACATTGCCTGAGATGTCTGACCTTCCTTCAGGTAAGCACATACAGAGTAAGGAAGAAAAACATTTACTGTGCCCAAAAATGTAGTGTTAGTCATTTTATTTATTTATTTATTTACCGTATTTTTCGGACTGTAAGACGCATCGGATTATAAAGCGCAATATACAATAAATGAACGGTCTGTTTTCATACATAAGGCGCATTAAGCGAAACAAAACAGTCAGATAAGTCACAATTTATTCAACTCATTCACAATAACTCTCAACATTGTTCAGTTGTACCACATACAATTGGTTCGAGATCAGTAAGCACAACCAGAATTAATACATCAAACACACCGGATTATAAGGCTCACTGTTTATTTTTGAGAAATTAAAGGATTAAGTGTGCCTTATAGTCCAAAAAATACGGTATTTATTTGTATTTTCAGTTTCTTTATGTCTGGTGTTAGCTTTATTGAATGTTCTCTATTAGTTTTGTGGGATCATTCTAGAAAACTGGTTTAAAAAACTCTGAGTTCATCCATTATTTTTTTTAGTATCTTTTTAGTTCCAGAACAGCTGATTACTACAAGGTTCATCAATCTTGAGTACCTTAACCTTGACCTAAGGCTGTGAGCCCAGAGCTTATTCAAAAGAACTTTGTAAATGATAATTAGTTTTTCAGTGCTACGGTTTTGTAATCCTGAGGTTGCGGGTTCAAGCGCAGGTTGCGTCAGGAAGGGCATCCAACATAAAACAATTGCCATATCTTTCATGGGAGTTTGCTCGCTGTGGCAACCCCTGAAGAAGGGAGCAGCCGAAAGAAACATTTTAAAATCAAAACTAAATGTTGTTTCGGAAAAATATGTTTCCAGAAAAAATGTGTCTGAAAAACAAATTTCTTAAAGTTCTACATTGATCAGATAGTCAATTATTTTGATTGAAGAAATTGCCTCAAAAACCTAAAACAAACAAAAACAAGTTAAAAACGTATCTAATTTTACTTTCGTAACAAATTTTCTAGTATTCAATTGCTTGAATACCCGTTAGGGCGGGTTGCATATCCAAAAGTGAAAGATGTGAATTGTTGGAACGATGTTACAAATTTTAAATGTTGCATTTGTACTTACACTGGGAAAAAAAAGACCAAATAAAATTGATTGATTAATTATTGGCATTTTGTCGTGATTGTGGTTTGGTTTAAAAATATTTAATTTGCAAAGGAATATCTGCAAATAATATGTTCAGCTCAATGCACATTTGGTAAGATATGAGCTCGTGTCCACGCAGCGGTGTATTATATTGAACGTGAGGCCAGAAAATATTACTGAGCATAACTTTTCAACAAAACAATATGAGCCTAGGTGGAAAAATCCTCTCCTGACATCAACATTATGAATTAATTTAACTTCTAAATCAGTTAAACTGATAATAAATGAACAACTCATTTGCAACAGCTGCTTCTGCTTGGAGACCAGATAGAAATACTGGGTTTCATTCAGTAAACCTGCTATTGAGAAGGTTTACTTCAGCGTCTGTTACTATGGTGATAGACTTAGAGTTTAATTTTCATTTGTTAGATATGAAAAACTCAGTTTTCACATAACCTACTTTTTGAAAATGCCCCTCTTGTCATGTTTTCTTTTCACAGCCCTTGTTCTCCTCAGTTTCCCTTGTTCAGCTCTACACACCTGTGTCCCATTTGTAATCAGCTCATCTCTCTCTCTCTCACTCAGTAATCATCCCTCCCAGTGAACTTAACCTTCTGTGTTGCACTGCTCACTTTCTCATCAATTTATGTTCGTCGTGGCATAATCATCTTATTTTAGTTTAATTTCAATTATTAAAGCTATTTGCATCCACCTGCTTTCTGCTGTTTTTTTAGTTGTTGCTGTAACAGGAAATGTATAGCATTCAGTGTACACATTGCTGATTGAGGACACGTTTTCTCTCTTTTTTTTTTAATATGAAAAATGGACACAACCCTATTTAAGTGGGGGGAAGTGTTGCAGCATTAAAAAAACAAATGTTTTGGTTTAAGCTATTGAAAAAGTTTAGTTTTGAGGATGAAAAAGTTTGTGTTCATCCACCCTCTAATCCAGCATTGATTACAATTTATTTGCTCTTTCTATTACGTTTAAACATGTGTGGCCATGTGTTTGAGCTTTTAATATCCCAACTGTAATCAGATTATAGTGTTTATATGAAATTAAAATTGTTCTAGTTCTCGGTGCCTCAGAAACCTGCTTTTCTAGCTAGAAATTTAAAAAGCATAAAGTGTTGGTTTATTTAACCACTAATGACATGAGGAAAACTTTTCACACACCTAGTAGATATTGACAATTTCATGCTTTGCCACTTCATACACAAGCGCACAGCTTTTCACAATAAAACTAGGAGAAATAACTTTCAGAAGCAATCATAAAAAGTTCAACACACTCTCTGTTATGCAATTCTGTCCTTTCTTTTCATTTCACAGATGAGCAACACAGCAACAGCATTCTGTTTTTGCTTTCTAAAAAGGACTTCAGTAGTTTCAGGCAGACTGTGAAACAAGAGCATGCAGATGCACAGTTTGCAGGCCAAAAGAGTCTCCTTCACTACACGGTAGCCAGTGGAGATTTGGAAAGTGTCAAGCATGTCCTGAGTCTGGGTGCAGAGGTCAACTGTACAATGGCCAGAGGTTACACTCCCCTTATCATTGCAGTTCTGCAAAGGTCAGTATGAAAATCTGCTCAAAATCTGCTTTATGTGCAACACAGTGAAGAACCGGAGTTTGAGTCTGTTGACATTTCGCGCACCATAATTATGAAATACTTACATAATGCTGATTGTATTTTTTTTTTCTGTGAAACCTTGATATGAGTAATACCACTAGTTATATTAATGACCTGGTGCAGAGTACATCGATTAAGCTTTGTATGATGTAATCAGAGCATTTAGAAATAACCAAAAATTTTCAGCAATGCTTTTTTTTTCCTTTATGAATTTTCATTGAACTTCTTTGTAAATCAGACCTTATTTTTTTGTTTGTAAAACCCAAACAGTCCTGCTAGTTTTAACCTTTACAAGCATAGCAGCTCTATATGTATTGCACTGGTTACAATAGGTGTAGTTTTAATGTGGAGTTGCAGCCATGGGTCACGTTTATCCCTAAAAACCTTTAATTATTGATGGTTTAGTTCTTTATTTTAATTTATGCTACAAAACTAAAACTATGTAAGACAGCCAAAGTCTTTAAATTATGAATATTTTCACATTTCACTCTGATCAGGAAAGGGTTTGCTGTTTTCTGATTTTTCCTCTGTGTCTCTCAGTGGGAAGGTGTCAGCTGGACCTACACTGTGGCTCAATCTTCTAGTTAAAAATGATAGCATGTATGGGATTAAGGTTACAATCCAAGTTAGCATGAGAGCTTTTAGTTTACTGTAGGACAAAACACCAATAAAACCATATCTGTATCTATCTGTCCTCTTTCCCACCAGGTTTTACGATATCATCACTTTGTTGTTGGAACATGGAGCCGATGAAGTGGAGGGGGATGAAGACCAGTGGACGCCACTACATTTTGCTGCTCAGAACGGTGATGACAGGTCTATTCGTCTCCTGTTGGACAAAGGAGCTTCGGCAGATGCTCGGGAAAAAGCCGGATGGTTGCCGCTCCACCTGGCCTGTCAGAATGGCCATGAAACTGTGGTGCGCCTGCTGCTTTCACGACTGTTGAAGGAGGCTACTGTGGATCAGGAGGAGGAACAGGGCAAGACTCCGCTCCACCTCGCCTCTTCCTATGGGAATCTTAATATCGTCAAGCTTCTCCTTGCTCACAAAGCAAATCCGAATGCCACTGACAGCTCTCTTTCCACCGCTCTTCACTTCTCTGCTGAGCAAGGCCACAATCGCATAGTCAGACAGTTGTTGAAAAGTGGGGCGAACGTTGACAGTGCAGACAGCAGAGGACACACGCCGCTTCACCTGGCTGCTCTGAACGGTCATGCAGGTATATGCAGGCAGCTGATAACCAGTGGGGCTAACCCAGAGTCCAAAACCCTACAGGAGTGGACCCCCATGCACCTGGCTGCTCAGCGAGGACATGAGGCAGTAGTGGTGCAACTGGAGAGTCTTGGTGCTCTTGTAAACTCAAAAGGTCAAAGTGGATGGACTCCGCTGCACCTAGCCTGCAAGCAAAGTCAGCCGGAGGTGGTGGCAAAGCTTCTGTCAGCCAAAGCTAACCCAAACGTTAAAGAGGACAATGAGGGGTGGACACCTCTCCACATAGCCTGTAAAAAACTCTGTTTCCCTTGTGTTCTTCATCTGGTACTATACAAGGCAGATGTTAATGCTGTAAACTCAGAAAAGGCCACATCGTTACACCTGGCTGCTCAGCATGGCTGTGTGCCCACCATTAAGGTTCTACTGCTGAACGGAGCAGACAGGACACTACGAGACGCCTCTGGATCCACAGCTCTAGATGTAGCTTGGCTGTGTAAAAAATGGGAAATAGTTGAGCTACTGCAAAAGAACTAAAATCCTGCAGTTCAGGCCTTTTGAAGGGATATTTTTGGAAAGATTATAAACAATATCTTAGCTTTTTGAGCATCTCATTGTGGAGAAATTAATGAGCTAATGACAAATCTGAGGGGAGACAATACCAGATAGGATTCTACCATCTTAAAGCAGCTCCTTATGTTAAAAAAAAATTGTAGGTTAATGGAAACAGTTGAACATATTTTTTTAAACCTTTACGCTTTTGTTAATTTTGCATTACATGGATATTCATTTAAATGTTATATATCAGTAGTTATTTTATGGTTAGTTGCTCCTCAAGTGTTCTCAGGGGGGTATGTTTTGCTTGAATAGTATTTACCCCAAAATAATTTGTAATACTTTACTTTTGATAGTCATTTTAAAGTGAGGTGTTTAATATTTTTGAACAGCTCATCGTTTTATAGCACTAAATTGCTATACTCCAAATACATTTTTAAGGCATAATTTGAAAGTGTCATCAAAAGGACTTTGCTTCATAATGTCTGTCCAGTATACCCAAGAAAACAAATTTGAACACAATTGTTAAAAACAACTACAATTTGATTTTTGGGGTCATTACATTCAGAGCCAAACAAAGCCCTGCCATTAATGCCATTTCGGGTGGCTAAAATAATGATATAAAAAATAGTTTCCTTAACACTGCTGTTAAATCTGACAGCAATATTACAGTGATACAGGAGAGTGAGCTAACAAATTGAGGTCAGAATCAGGTGAAGTAAATTATAACGACAAAACATATTGATTGTCCTCTTTAGATCACCTTGCTTGTGTGCCTCCTGTGCGCACTGCCATCATAGATGAAGGGTGTAAATTAGAAGAAAAAAAAAAATCTTTCAGCTTTTCATTATATGCAAGTCTTTAAATGGTACAGTTAAACCAAATTTGAAAGACATGAAATTGGTATTTTTAAATGAAATTTCCCATTAAATATTTATCATATGCTCAATGACAAGTCAGGATAATTATCAGTCATTCCCCACTGAATGATGGAAGCACTACTCGGCTTTTGCCATGCTCATTTACCACTCTGACATCCTATTAAGTTGAAATGAAATGCATGGATTTGAAAGTGGTATTGACCTGTGCATTCGTAAGATTTTCCCTGGAACCACAAGAGACTGACTGAAGGAGAACTGAGAGTTGAATCCAGTCAAATCACTTTAAATGAAACATGCAAAGGTAAACTGGGCTCAGATTGTGCTTTGAATGTTCTTGGTTGCTGAAGGAAATCTCTACTGTGTTATGTTTAACATTAACTTTTTGTAAAAAAATAATTTTATTTCATGTCTGACCATAGTTAACTTTTTTGGTTTGTCTTTCAGGTATAATTTAATATTTGCCATGCAACACTGAACCTTTTTTTTTTTAATGTTTTTTTAACAATAAAGTCATTGAAGAAACAACTTGCAGTGTCTTCAACCTTTTCTCTTCTACTAAGGGGAAAATATTAAATTGTATTATTCTGTTGAAAAATACTTTACAAGAACCCACTAAAATATAAATACTTTTATTAAAGCAATAGTTTTTTTTTTTTTTTTTTTTTTAGTTTTTTTTTAGTTTTAATTTGGTGAAAAATTAACAGAGAAATCATCAGGAAAATAACCTTTTGAGATCATCTTTGGAGATCCTATTTTTAACCTAATGGTACAAAGCCCTCAACAACCTAGCTCCATCTTATATTCAGGTCTCTCTTGTAAATGAGTCCTCGAGGCTCAATGGGATTTACCTGTATAAATAAAGGTTGATTGATATATTACACAGCTTATTGTTCTATATTTTCCCACCAGAGCACTTTTCTTTTAGATTGCAGGCTTACTTGTGGTCCCTAGAGTTTCCAAGAGCAAAATGAGAGAAAGATCTTTCAGTTATCGTGCTCCTCTCTTGTGGAACCAACTTCCAGTTTCTGTCCATGAGGCTGACACATTGTCCATTTTGAAGATTGGGCTTAAGACTTTCTTTTTTGATAAATCCTATAGTTCAGGTGGGCTTTTTATGCTGCCATATTCATAGACTACTAGAGGACAAATTGACCACATTTCTTCAAACGAATAGTTATAATTAAATCGTTTTCATTTGATATTATTTCTATCTTACCATGTGATTTTTGACCTGCCATTGTGTATCTGTTCCTCCTTCCCGTTCCTCTCAAACCCAACTGATTGAAGCAGATGACCTCTAGTCCTGAGCCCTGTTCTGCTAAAGGTTTCTGCCTCATGAGGGAGTTTTTCCTTTCCACTGTCGCCTTCATGCTTGCTCAAGATGAGAGTCTGCGATGAAGTTAAACTCAAAGCAGTCTGCTCCTCAGATAATTAAATGTTATTAACTTGCATTTCATATATTTGAATGTTTTTGTTCAGTGCTCTGAGATAACTTCTGTTGTGACTTGGTGCTAGATAAATAAACAGAATTGAAATTGAATTGAATCATCAGAGGTTCAGCACAGATTGAATGACTGGTGTTAGAGGCCAGACTGAGATGGTCTGGACATGTCCAGAGGAGGGACAGTGGGAATATTGGTAGAAGGATGTTAGAAATGCAGCTGCCAGAAAAACAAACAAGAAAAAACAAAGAGGAAGGTCAATAAGGATGCAGTGGATGCAGTTAGGGAGGACATGGAGGTTGTTGGAGTGAGGACAGGGTGACATGGAGGATGACTCACTGTGGTGACACATGAAGAGGGAACAATAGAAAGAAAGATAATAAATTGTACATAGACCTTTGAACATACTCATTTTGAGTGAAATGGTTTATTTCTGGTAGATGTCATGATAGCTAAGGGCAAGTTTGAGCCTGCCCAAAATAACTGTTTTAAAAACAAGTCTATGTAGATCATGGGATCTAGTTTATAAACCTTGTTAATTCCCCATGGCATGGTTATTTGAGTACCAAAACATTGCCAAGTCTTCCTTCAAATTTGCTCACTGTGGCAAGACAAGAAAAATGGATCTGCTGAAAGAAGAATGTTATTCTGGCAGAAAATTATATTTCTGCTAGCTCAAACTAGACTGGGAATGCTGCAGCTAGCTGACACTACATGCACTTGCAAATAACCTTGAGTATAAAACAGTGTGTGAGGAGTCCAGGTCCTGTTTTCTGTTTTTGTTACAACCCAGCTCTGCCAGGGGGAAGAACATTAAAATCCAGGTGTTAAAGGTTTAAATAAATAAGCGTTTATTGTTCAGTTTCTTCTTTAAAATCAAGAGTGAAAAAAAACAATAATCAAAAGTCAGCCAGAGTCTTATAAACCTAAACACTGAATAAATTCAACCAGAGTCTT